GTGGGGCTTTCCGTGTAGTACCGAACTTGGAGGGAAACTCCTCACTTTATATGGTTCGCAGAATGTGCATTATGTAAAAATTAAATTTTGTATTTTGAATAAATATTTTGGTGTATACGATAAACACTCATCTTATGAAGAAGACAACATAATTAATTTCATAATTTTATGGAGCTCTTTTGATGTACAAGTTAAATTGTCTCTCTTAACATTCACAATAACAAATGAAATCGATTTCGTCTCTCTTAATTTATATGAATGTGATTTTTGATTGATGAAGGCTAAATACTTTTAAATGAGAATGCAAGTGAAATTCAAAAATCGTGGATTTAAATTTAGTTATGTTTTTTTATTTATTTAGGTTTATTTTTATTGAATTTTTGAAAGTCACATCACCATCTATTAAGAAAGGTATATTAGTTTATATTAGAGATTTAAACTAGTAAAATATTTTTTTTTTTTTTTGAATCAAATTCAATAGAATTTATCTTTCAAATTTTAAATTGATAGTTGAGTCATCTTTCGAGCCACCAGATAGTAGAATACATTGATTGTGATGTAAATTGTAATATTTGAAACAAAAATAGTAAAATATTGAATGATAATTATAAATATGTATGATCAATTCTAAGTACAGCCGGTTCAAATTTAAAACAGATTAAAAGGCTAATGCTGAATTTTAGTCACTGTTATCTATCATACTCTCGATCAAATTTTTGACTAAATATGAAAGTGAAATACTAAATACAAAAATTTTGTGAGTTTATAATTATATATTTAACTTTTGAATGCGTGAATTATAAGGCAAGTCTATGCGGCCAAACTTCTTTCGAAAAAATGTACAATACTTTTAAAAGTCTTTTTCATCCATAAAATCTTTTGTATATAAGATAATTAATCGTTGACCAGGTCGATTCGTCATGTATTTTCAATAAAAATATATATATAATTAGATTATAAAATGGCATACTATTATTATTATTTTTTTAGAATATGACATTTTTGTTTTGAAGTATAACATTTTTTTTTAATTGTCTAATCTTTATCTGTGTAACTGTAGAATTTTACTATTGTTCGTATATTTCCTTCCATATCTTAAGTCAATTCTTTAAGTATATTTATCGCCTGGTAATACTGGATATTGGTCGGTACAATAACTCTTTAATACCATTTTCATCAAAATAACCGTAAAATGCCGGTTTTGTTGAAAAATAATGGCCAAAATATCGGCAAACATACCGGTTCTATCGGAGTATTTTTTTCTAATTATAATTTTTTACATACATGAAGTGTTTTACATAATTGAAAGTTCTACAATCTATATATTTATAATAAGATTACCATTTATCAAGAATAATAAGTCAATCCTTAGTCAAAATTGTTCAGCATTAATTAGATTCCATTTATAGTATTTTTTTTTTTTTAAATGTTGTCCTTAGAATGAGGAGTTTATTACTTTTTTATTTTCAAAAATGTTGAGCTGCTATTTAAATTTAGTCTATTGAATATTTGTGATGGATTGACACGATGTGCATATCAAAAGCTGATAATGCACGTGCTGCATCAATTAAATTTGGTTGTTGGTTATAAACAACTATTTTTAAATTTGAATACAAATGTACGTCACGACTGCTAATTCAAATAAACATCGGCCAATTATATTCTCCAAATTTAAAACCAGATATTCGTCTAATACAATTGTTTTGTTGGGCCTTTTTATAATAAAAAAGTTACAACTGATTTAATAATAAAAAAGTTACGTACTATTTTTTCTAAACCATAAAAATATACTTTTGTATTTTAAAAATATCAGATTTTTTTTTTCTATATAATCGGCTAATGGCCTAATATATATGTTTTGATTAGCAGGTTTTATTTAACAAAACAAGTTACAACTGATTTAAGGGTAAAATTATTTTAAAAAATTATTTGTTTATTTCTTTTGAAAACATTTTTCCTAACCATCAAATTGAGTAGTTTCAATTAAAAAAAAGTTGCGACTGATTCAATTATTTTGTTTGACAATTATTTATAATGAAAAATAATACATGACTCTAATTTTGAAACGATCAAAATTTTTATGGTCAATGTTTAAATCAAATATCCGAAATAAGAATAATCTCCATATTTAAATTGCTTTAATTGCAAAACGTGATGTATATAATATTTAAATACATTTATCACATATCATCCCCTAAATTAATTATTTTTTTCGTAAATCAAAATACCAAATCAAATTTTTACTGCCTTTGTTTAAATTAGAGATTCAAAATATTTTAATCTCTATTTTTAAATTGCTTTAATTGTACAAGTGATGTATAGAAGATTTAGATAGATTTATAATCAATTGTAGTACTAGACTAGTTAAAAGTAATATTATACATTATTTAAATTATAATACTACATTTAAATAATATTTACTGTAAGAAATTAGGGGAAAATGGGTGCGGGAACATGAGTGAGGGCCCACTAACATGAAGCGCCCCAAAAGCGAGAAAACTCATATGAAGCCCAAGTGTGATTTCATCTCAAAATCAATGGGTGGAATGAGTAGTAACCCATTAAATTTAGGGTTATTTGCATCTAAAATCATAGCATTTTGCTCAATTGCAAATAAAACTCAAAGTTTTTAATTTGGCAAAAAAACACCAAGCCTTTAATAAGTATTGCAATTGTGTCTCAAAATCAATTTTCGGCCGCCAATCACCTTCCGCCGCCGTCGGACCGCCGCCATCCAACTTCGCCGGAAGTTAAATTTTTTTACATGATCTTGTAGTTCTCCTCCGTACCGACAATATATCCGAGTTTCAAGAAAAAATCCCAACAATAAGGCTTCCAATTTTCCGATCAAAGCTCGTAGATCTACAAATTTCTCCGACTTTCTTTCGCAAATTCTTGGTCACTCACTTTGACCCATGTGAATCCGAAGTTACCGTTAAATTCTTCTCGCAAAGCCGCATCTAGTACGTCCACCTTCACCGGAACTGGTGATTTATTCCGACGACGACTTTTCCGGTCATCTTCTTCGCAAATTTCAGGCCGACCCCCACCACGTTCTCTCCCTGACGGACCTCCACGACGCTCTCTCTCCGGCGAGCTTCCCCCAACCGTGAGCTCGACTTCCAGCAACCTCCTTCACTAGGCTTCCCCTCTGTGCACAGCCGCCTCGAGCTCGTTTTCCGGCGTGCCTTGGCTGAAAATTGATTTTGAGACTCAATTGCAATACTTACTAAAGGTTTGGTATTTTTTTGTTAAATTGAAAAGGTTGAGTTTTATTTGCAATTAAACAAAATGCTAGTATTTTAAATGCAATTAATCCTTAAATTTAT